TATTAATTCACAATTCTTTCATGCAGATGCAATCTATTTAAATTCTGATAGAATTTTCTTATTGGGTAGATAGCTCTAATTTCTAGTAAAACTAAAATATGTCTTTTTAACTAAATAAGGGTGCGTACTAGTAACAATTACTTCCGTGGTGTTCTATATCTTTTTGACATGCGTGTGAGGGGCTAAGGGATCGCTATAAAATGATTCGGTTTTTCTGCTATGTAATTGGGTAGTTTGTAAAGGAAGAAGTTACTATAGTTTTAATGGGTTATCTAATATGTATGGAGGTAGCTATCATATTCTTCTTTTTTTTATTTAATACCCACCTTCCTCTTCCAAAACTGTACACATTCCCCGATGTATCCAAAAGAATACAGTGCTCATAAATCCAAAATAATAATGACGTATTCAAAAAATAAATTTATAAATTGAGAATTACATTATTAGCTACGTTAAGTTTACTTACCCCAATGACATTATGATATTATGTAAGTAAATTACACAGAACAAATTTGAGATAGAGAAGCGTTCATGATGAGTACGAAGAAAAAAATATGGAGCTGATCAAAAAACAATTGAACAATAATTTTGATAACAAAAAGATAAAGAAAATTAGTTATTCTCTGAGCAGCGAGATAGTTGAGAATAATTGTTGTTATTGTTTAATAGCATATAGTCTGCGATTTTTCCATGAATAGACGTCACCTATTAATAAGTAATTCTCTAATTGTTATTCAATCATAGCTTGTCCTAAAAGATTCAGGCCTGGCCAAGACATAACAATTGATTACCAACCNATATAAGATATATTAAATATATTATATATTGAAAAGGAAGCTATTTTGTTCGAGAGAGTAAAAGATTGACTTCAGGTATAAGTTAAGAGCTTCATCCCTCAACAACCGTCAGAAACACAACTAACCACAACCGGACCGATACCGACAGTTAACCAGCTGACCTGGTCACGACCTCCAATTGATCATCGCATGATCTTTTACCACATCTTTTCGAAATTTATTTTTTTAAAAAGCTTTCTGGTCCAAACATCGCCTGTAGATCCGAATCAGAGGACAGTAATTATTTCAATTTTTAGAAAAGTCATTACTTACTATAGTTCGCTAGCAAATGCATCCGGGCAAATATATTAAATTTAACGTTTGACCCCTATACGCAACTTATTTTAAACTGCACATTTTACCCGCATATTCCAATATTAATATTTTTTAACGTTTCCTCCGCGTACACTTTATTAGAAAGCGTAAAGTTTCAGTTATGTCAGATAAATAAATTTTTTCATTAAATAAAACAATACAAGTAAATACATTTATATGAAATGTTGCAATTGAAGTTCTTCAAGTGTGAAATACATTTGACCATATGTTTCAAAAAGAAATCCAAGTTCGTATTAATGACGATCATTTTTCTTATTGCTAACAAGAAAACCTGTCAGTTATTACCATCATTATTAACATTAGTAGATACCGGAAAACGTTTTAATAAATAAATTATTAAGTTGATTAAGTGATGGTAGAGGAACATCTGGTGATCGAGGTGTTGAACTATAGCGTCAGTTCCGAATCAACCAGATTTAACAGTAAAAAAACATATTTCCGTTGGACCAATACAACAGTATATAAAACATATAGTGTTGTATCAGTTAAAACATATCGTTTAAGTGTGTAACATGTTTTTTTAAACGTTTTAAAAGAACGGGTTATTGCACACCAACATCGTACCATTTAATCGTCATCTATCCAAAATTCTGCACAATGCGAACTCGATGCAGTTTAGATGAGCAAAGACGGAGCATTGCTCCACTCCGCCGTTAACATTACATTGCAGGTGGGGAAGCCGTAGTTCGACCGTCTTCAATGGCGCGTAATATCTAACAACTGAGCAAGCATTTGAGTCTGCTCACACCCTGCAGCAGCATAGAATACTACCGCAAAATAATATTTTCTACCTTTAATCAAAAAAAAAAATTATAATCGAAAGAAATAGTTTTGGTTTAGTTTGTTGATACGATAGAATGGTACTATGTTGGAGACTTTCCTATACATAAATAGATATTAAATAAATGCAAAAGTTTCTCGCCAACAGTAAAAGAAAAGCAGAAAAAAATATATAATAGAGAAAATAGGTTACACTCTTAAAATAAAAACATTCCAACCATATACGTGCCAGATTTTTTATTCGCAACAATTAGGAACAATTACTTTAAAACTAAACAAAAAAAAAAATATATAAGTCGAGGTCTCTCGCCCAGACCGTACTAAGTACATAATATATTAATAAATAGATTGTTGGATTGCTTTATATCTCGTGTGTAAAATATACAAAAGAAAAATAAAAATATACAGAGGCTTCGGGCTTCTCTTTCTAACGTTTAGAATTAAGGTTTTCGATGTTTGTGTGTATTAAATTTTTGAGCTTTTGAAACTACTTGACGCTACGCGAATTTTTGACGATATCAAATTTATCTTCGGGCTTTTCATAGTCATTGTTATGTATCTATAGAGCGTTCTAAATTGTTTTCCCGACACAAGTACGTACACACACACATAAACACACACACACACACACATACGCAAGCGTAAAAACTTTTCGACTTGAGTTTTTTCATTCGTGTAAAAACACCATGCCAATCCGCAGTGATATTTGTTCCAATAATTGTGCAATTTTAAATAAATAACTATTATTGTAATATACAATAAACAATGTCTGTAATATGAACGCCATCTTCTACGGTTTCGATGTAGAAGTAGAAGATGCTGTTCGGAAAAAGAATTATAAACAAATAACATCATGTAGTAATTAATATATGCAGCCAGCAAAAGCAGCAGCAGCAAAGAATCAAGGTTTTTTATTTGCCAATTTTTCTTTTCTCGGTTAAATTTCTAAATGTGTAATTATTACGTATGTGAGATACAACAGAGTTCGTTTTCTTTTTCGAATTATTGTAGTGGTGTAGTGAAAGGCAAAATGCACTATTATATTGTTTATGACACGCGGTCCAAGTGTATAGTAAATAAACAACCTGTTGTCAAGTATACGCAAAAAAAACCTTAACTAGAAACAAAATTACGTGAAATCGTTTTGGTTACGATGAACAGCATCATCAAATCTATAATCAAATATAACTGTGTTCTTAAACTACATACGATGTAGGTACTCATGTTTTGAATTTTAAATGTCATCGTTAAGTTTTCGTTTTTTCGTTTTGTTAAAAAATCGTATCGTTTAACAACTCCTTAATATCTGATCGGTTATTTCAAAAGAACGTTAGCAAAAAGATTTTTACGTTTTTTAAGGATCAAGGACAGTAGAGATTTTTGTTTAAAGTATGACTCTAACGGATTGTAGAATTAGAATCGAATTGTTTGATTAATTTAGTAATTGTTATCGATATCTACCTATTTTTCGTTCGTTTCCCTAATTATATTACGAGGATGAGAATTCAGTTTCCCTTTTTTTATGCGACAAATTTTCTTTTAGTTTTTATTATCGTCTAATAATAATGATAATTTTTTAATGATCGTATTCAATACCTACCTAATTAATATATACTTTACAGTAAAAAATATTTTAATATAATACCTAATATCTACTACGAAAGCACCATTTTGTAACAGTATTTAAAATCAAAATAACGGACCAAGGTCTATGTTTTATAGATTTTAAGTTATCA